GTGTGTGTGTGTGTGTGTGTGTGTGTGTGTGTATTCATATATATGTTTCTCGTATTCTTTTTAAGATGATATTACACAATATGACAAATTATAATATTCATTGCTACTAGCCACTGAGCTTCCTATGATAATTATCTTGTATAAGAATTTTATGTTAATGCCTCGCATAAATTGACACATGTCACTTGGTTATATAACAGTGAGAGCAAATATAAGACCAGGAAAGACTAAATCATTAAGAGGAGATTAATGTTTCAACAAAAGAGGAGTTTATCAACTAATCTCTAAGTGACATTAGAAACTGATTTTTGTTTTCTATTCCACCTTATTTCTCAAAGGTTTGCAAGTCACGTCAAATGTACAGATTGAGTACACCAACACTTCTTATCTAGGACTCTCTCTAATGCTTCTAGCAAGAGTCTGTCTGGGAATCTTTATATAACCATTCTCCTCTCTTATGCTCAATATGTAATATACCTTCGTCACCATGTGCTTAATCGGGAAACCCCCTTATTTGGAATGTCTCCCAAGGAATCAAATTAAGCCTAATTATACTTAATGGCAATGACTGCTTCTTAATTTGGATGGTAATTCTGCTTAATTGAGATGCCTTCAGGTGTCTAAGTGGTGCTCTAGCAAGAGTATTGGTGTGCACGAGTGCATCAACCTGGAATGTCCTGTTTCTTCTGTGAACATTTCACCAAAATAAACGAAGAAAGGCAAAGAATTTACTGAAGCGATATAACACAAGATTCCTGAAATGTAATTTAACTGTTGAGCGTTTACAGTCAACCAAATTTATACAAGATCATTAGAAAAATCTATGTGAATGCACATAAAGATGAGTTGGGAAAGCAAAACCCCTAAAATGAGAGAACTATGTAAATCCAAATGGCATATGTCCGTTATTTCATTTATCATTTTGCAGTTTGGCCATGTTGAAACATCCTCAAAGAACACACCTCAGGCATTTCATCAAACGTGAGCCTGCTGGAGTCTGGCAAAACAGGAAAATAATGGGATCTGAAGTGCCAGAAACAAAATAGGAACCTGATGAGAACCCAAATCTCTTTCTTCAACACTTTGCTTGTGTACATGTGGTAGACAAAACTGGTTTCCCATAATCCTCAGCCCTGCCTTCTGCCTTCCAGATGGTTCTTTCCTCAGGCTCCCTAGGAGCTAGAAGATGGGCATTCGACTCAGGTGAACCTGAAGGGAAATCCACTAGGGACATTCTAGAAAATCCCTTCCATGTTTTAGAAAGACATGGCTCATTTCTTCAGCGAACATGATTACGCCACAGCCATCTTGTGACCTGAGGCGGGGCAGGCATCATTACTGCCCTGGATGGTGGAGCAGAAAAGAGGCGAGACACATAAATCCTCAACGATGTTCCTGAGCTCCTGAATTAAATCTGGACTCTCACTGGCTCTCCCCTTTTGTTAGGTGAAATAATGTTTCTTAAACACTTTTTCTCATACCTACAGCCCCAAACATCCTATCGACACACTGAATAACCTATTATTTCGTTTCCTCGTGGCACCCCTCACAGTGATAATGGAACATGGAGCTGCAGAAATAAATGAGTCTTCTAACAAAGAGAGCTAATGAAGTGCCTTCACAGTGCAGTAAGACACATGTTCTCCTCCTTCCGTAGGAGCAAAATAGCCGGGAAACCTTTAACAAGTAGTTTACATACCCCGGATCGCGGTTTCTTGTCTGTGGGGTGAAGGGTACAGACAATAGGAAGTCTAAGCTTCCTTCTAGATAGAGATTTCAGTTATTCTAGTATGTGAGGGAAAGAAAGAAACTCAGATATATAGGTGCACCTGTAGTGTAAAAAATATTCATGATTATTTACATGCAATCTGGAAGTAAATGAATTTTGGAATACCGTACGGGTGATACTCAGATTTACTGAAGATTCACCTTGCGGCCACTGCCTGATCTGTCACCACAGCAGGGCTCTCCTGCTCCTTCCATACAAAGGACTTCCACACTTTACAGCTCTTCGCCTGACACTCAGAACTGCAAAACTCCCCTCACTCCTTACAGCGGAGCCCCAGTCCCCCTCCCACTGACACCAGAGAAAAATACGCCATCAGCATGACTCTCTTTGTCTCTATTGGCTTCTCCACATGACATCATGCACATCCCAGATCTCGGCAGCAGAAAACGCACTTGTGAATTCCACATTTGCTGCTATCAGTCATATCCGCTTGAATGAAATACAGCAGGCACCTCACTCTCATTATGCCCAAAACCAAACTCATTATCTCTTCCCATAAGAAAAAAAAAAAAAAAAAAAAAAAAAAAAAAAAAAAAAAAAAACTGGTTCCTGAGGCCCTTTCCCTGATTCAAGGTGGGGAGAATTTATATATTTATATTATTCCAAACTGAACCTATCTGGAGAATAAAAGAAGGTCGTTATTAACAATGGTGCAGGAACTGCAGATGTAGGGTAGGTGCCCCTGGTGGGGCAGGGGGTGCCGGAAGGGAGGCTGGACCACACTGTCATTCTGGTAAGGGCTTCACCATGCCCCCCTAAAGCCATTCTTGATTCCAGCATATTCCATTACATTCAGAGGGACTATACTGTAGCCTTGAGAGTTGCTAACAGAATAGGTCTTAAAAGTTCTTACCACTAGAAAATAAATTGGTAACTATGTGAGATGATGAATGTTAACTGTTTTGCCAAATATACATATATCGAATGATTATATTATACACCCTAATGTTATATGTCAATTACACCTCAACAAAACTGGGGCAGGGGGTAGAGAACATAGACCAACCTTCAGAACCAGGAGGAGGCAACCAAATGAGGAAAACTCCCCTTCTGTTTGAGTCCTAGACTTTTTCCCACTAACTGTGGATATATGTACTCAGGAGGCAACGTGAGCCTTTCTATTCAAACAGCAAAGTGCAAGGGCGCCCCACATTCACAGGGCTGTGGATCTTGAACACCGTCCGAGTCAGAGCACTGACAGCATCGGCGAGCCAAGGGGACGGGGGAGGCCTTACCTTGTCCGGGTCAGTTGTGGTAATGACCCACACACAGTGAGCGTTGTCTTCATACTGAACCGGGTAATTAGGGGAGGTGATGATGCCGCTGGGTCCACGCAGATTTGATCCACATGTTCTAGCTAGAAATACATAGACATGGTGTTACTTTCTTCAGCATTTTATGTGTGTGGTGAAGACAAACTAGGCACATGAAACATCAGATTAGTTATTCACTGATTATGATAAAAAGCGGTTCAAGAACTCAAGTGGGCAAGTGCAGTGTGCTCAGCCATGGGGATCCTTGTTTGACTTCGGCAACGTCCAACCCGAGCTCTTTATTAAATTTTCCAATGCGTTACCATTCACGAGTTACAAGAGTGACCTTGTCGCTGATATCGCCATGGATGATGCCAAATCAGATCAAATCAGCCCACCCAAATCCCAGTCTGACTCAGACACAGTCGTACATACCTCTGGCTGCACACGGACGCAGTAAGACAGAGGGGAAAGTGCAGTGCAGGGGTGCTCCAGAGACCCTCCCTGCCGCCCCCACCACACCCCACACAGTATGACAACTTCGTCCTTTCCACTCTAAACACGGATGGTACCACAGGTCATCTCCAAAGTCTCTTCCAAGCTTTAGACTCTACTCTATAATCAACTATACAAATTTCCTTACAGCACAGGGCAAGCAGGAGATTAAAATGTAGTTGACAATTTAAAGAAAGAAAATAGAAATGGTGGCTCTAGAAGGGGAAAGAAACGACCTTACGTTGAAAGACCCACCCAGCAAACTACAGAAATGACATAACCTAACAGATATTACTGAGGTTTTAATATAAAAAACTATTTCAGGGGTTGCCTGGATGGACTCAGTTAGTGAAGCGTCTGACTCCTGATTTTGGCTCAGGTCATGATCTCATAGTTTGTGAGTTTGAG